GCACCATTTGAATTTCAAAAATGCATACAGCTGCATTGCACGTTATAACATCTGCAAAATAGAGGTAGCACTGTCTTATCCTGCCCACTGCAAAGGGGATGCTAAACTAATGCCTTTCCCTCTTTGCTCTATTGTTAGTATTTGTGCTTGTTGTCAACAGCTCAGAGTCATGATGGATATCTGTGACAAGTAGTGTCCCTCAGAGGTCCATTATTTAGTATCTTCATCCAATGTTATTTAATATCTTCATCAATGACAAAGACAAAGGGATGAAGTGCATCCTCAACAAATTTGCAGATGATGCCAAGCTGAGTGGTGAGGTGATACACCTAAAGGATGGGATGTCATCCAGAAGGACCTGAACAAGCTTGAGAAGTGGGACCATGGGAATCTCATGCAGTTTAAGAAGACCAAGTGCAAGGTCCTGCACCTTGGTCAGGGCACTTGCTGGTATAACTACAGGCTGGGGGTCGAACAGAGAGCAGCCCTGCTGAGAAGGGCCTGAGAGTGCTGGTGGGTGAGAGACTGGGCATGAGCCAGCAATGTGGACTTGCAGCCCAGAAACCCCCCGTGTCCTGGGCTGCATCCAAAGCAGTGTGGGCAGCAGGGGAGGGAGGGGATACTTTCCCTCTGCTCTGCTCTGGTGAGACCCCACCTGCAGTGCTGCCTCCAGCTCTGGGGTCCCCAGCACAGGAAGGACATGGACCTGTTGGAGTGAGTCCAGAGGAGACCACCAAGATGATTAAAGGGATGCAGCATCTTTCCTATAAGAAAAGGAAGATGAGAAAAGGAATGAGGAAAGGAAATGAGAAAACTGGGATTTCCTCAGCCTGGAGAAGGCTTAGGGGTGATCTAATCGTGGTCTTTTAGTATCTGAAGAGAACCTGCAAGAAAGACGGAGAGAGACTATTTACAAGGACCTGTAGTGAGAGAACAAGAGGGAATGGCTTCAAACTGACAGAATGGGTTTAGATTGGCTGTTGGGAAGAAATTCTTCCCTATGAGAGTGGTAAGACACTGGCACAGGTTGCCCAGAGAAGCTGTGGCTGCCACATTCCTGGGAGTGTTTAAGGCCAGGTTGGATGGTACTTGAAGAAATCTGGTCTAGTGAAAGGTGTCCCTGCCCATGACAGGGGGTTTGATCCAGATAATCTTTAAGGTCCCTTCCAACCCAAACCATTCTATGATTCTATGGTTGGTATTTTATTTACTGTATTTAGTTAAAGTAGGGACTTTCCTCTCTATGACTGGGCATTCATTTTATTTTTAAAGTGTTTATTTTCTTTTCTTCACTTTTATTTAAAAATGCTGTTTAGATTTGTTAACAGTTGATTGCTTATCTTGGAAAACAAACTTCAAAAAAGGCATCCAAAGCAAACGTTTTAGTTCAACTCTTTAGACTGAGGATACCAACAGAGTGACCTGTAGTCCTTAATTAATAGACATAATTTGATATTTATTGAATTGTGAATTTTATTGGCAGTGCTGTAATAATTCCAGGAATAACTGAAGATTTAAATTCTTACAAGAATATGTTACCAAGAGTTCTTGCCTCAAATCTGTAAGAATGCTGCTTTTGTTTATACAATATTTAGAGTAGTTAATCCACATATTTCTAAGTAGAGCTGATCTGGGCTTTTGCTAAGTTACAAGATTCTCTTCAGACATTGATCAGGGCTGAACCACATACATCCCTGAGCAGATGATGCACAGGAGGCAAATTACAGTTTCCTGAAGCAAGTAGAGAACACTGATGCTGTTCCTTTCCGGTGGATTGTGAAGTTGCCTCCATTACTAGCTACTGAGGTGGTTATACAATGAAGAGATCTGGCCTTGTTCTAAGAGCTTCATGACATGTTAGAGGGATTATACTGGAGTGTATGGTTCAGTGAAGCAAAGTGAGAAGTCAGAAGCCAACATCATTTGGGTTGTGCTGAACACAAAGTTCTTAGATTTGTTTTCTGAGCTGAAAAAAACTCAGAAGGTGTTTTGTGGAAATTTCAGCAGAATTGTAGCAACATGTTCCTACCAGGACTGCCTCTAACAGGAACCAAGGAAATGAGGGAGCCAGCCTGTAGAACTTGTGGAGGTGGGGTTGTTGGCAGTGCTAGTGCCACCTCCCTTTCATGCAGGCATCTGATAACAAGGGCACGTGTAGTCTTGATGCACCTCTCTGCCTCATGGGGTTTGAACCTACTTCCTCTGCAAGAGGTGTCATGGAGAGATTCCACTCTAGACCATGCTTCTGGGGCAGTAAGTTCCCTAATTAAGAAAGCTCAGCCAACTCACAGCCCTCTTAACTCATTAATACCTCACTAATGGGGGCCTCAGCATCAATGTCTCTGATTTGTACCTCCTGTGCTGCTTTGCTTGCTGATATCTTCAGTCCCATATGCATACCCAGTTCCTTGGAGTGGCCTACCCTTTCTTCTAATTTTTCACCCCTAGTACTTCTGCTCCCCTTCTACCTGGTTTAATCTTTATCCTTCTTTGTTTTTGTCACCCTACCAAAGCAAGGGATTGGCAACCCATGAACAGCAGACATAAAATCATAACAAAATTTGCACAGACTAGGGTTTTCCAACATAAAGTGCTACACCCTCATGCATTCAAACTCATATAAAAGGCCTTTGCTTGCTCTTTGTTTGGGTTATGTCTTCTGAGAAAGACTATACTTGCATTTCTATTTTTCCGTTATTCCTTGTCCTGTCTCTGGAGAGCTGCTGGCTCTTATCATTTCAATGCTGCTCTTCTCCCTGTTTCTGCCTGCATGTTACGCTGCATTCACTTCGGTGCTGTGATAGCAGGGCTGCCCCTGCACTGCGGTGAGTTGGGGTGGGACACTTCATAACGAAAGACAAAGTTGTACTGAATTTGCATGGTAAGGTTTTGGAAGCGGTGGGGGCTACAGGGGTGGCTTCTGTGAGAAGGTGCTGGAAGCTTCCCCCATGCCCAACAGAGCCGATGCCACTGGCTCCAACACAGACCTGCTGCTGGCCAAGGGCAACCCCATCAGGGATGGTGGTGTCAGCTCTGGGATATTTAAGAAAGGGAAAAAGTTATTGTGCAGACATAATTGTGCAGGCAAAAGAAGAGGGAAGTGAGAATATGTGAGAGAAACAGCCCTGCAGGCATCAAGGCTAGCGAAGTAGGAGGGGTAGGATGTATTCCAGGTGCCAGACCAGAGATTCCTTGGCAGCCCATGGTGCAGCCCATGGTGAGGCATCTGTGCCCCTGCAGCCCTGGGGGACTGCAGAGGAGCAGAGAGTCACCTGCAGCCCCTGGAAGACTCCGTGCCAGAGCAGGTGAATACCCAAAAGAAGTCTGTGACCCCATGGGAATTCCATACTGGAGCAGGCTCCTGACAAAACCTGTGGATCTGTGGAGAGAGGAGCCCATGCTGGAACAAGTTTGCTGGCAGGATTTGTGACTCTGTGTGGGACACATGCTGAAGCAGTCTGTTCCTGAAGGACTGCACCCCACGGAAAAATGGGTTCCACGCTGGAGAAGTTCATGAGGAACTGCAGCCTGTGTGAAGGATTCACATTGGAAAAGTTGATGGAGGACTGTCTCCCACAGGAAGGATCCCATGCTGGAGCAAGGTAAGAACTCTTCTCCTTGAGGAGGAAGTGGTGGCAGAAACAAAGTGTGATGAACTGATGTAACCCCCATTCCCCATATCCCCCTGTGCTGCTGAAGAGAAGGTAGAACATGTGAAATCAAGTTAAGCCCAGGAAGGAGGGAGGGGTGGGGGGAAGGTGTTTCTAAGAGTTGTTTTACTTCTCATTATTCTGCTCTGATTTTGATTGGTAATAAATTTAACTAATTTCCCTAAGCCAAATCTGTTTTACCTGTGACGGTAATTGTGACTTCTACCTGTCCTTTTCTTGATCCATGAGCCTTTCGTCCAGTTGAGGAGGGCACTGGAAGAGTGGCACCTGACCTCCAGACATGTTCAAAACAGCACAAAAGTACAGTAAGGATGTAGTGAGAGCCCTGAAGATATGCTGAGCATCCACCAGAGAAGCCTGAAAGTGTTTTGTTCTTTCGGTTGCCCTGTGAGGGTGCTGCAGCTCCTCAGACCCAGTGCCATCATACAAGATTCAGTGCAAAGAGACATGGATGGTTTCAGAATTGATGAGTGAAACAAACTGGAAACCAGGATATATCTGGTTGGATCTAGAATTTAGCATCAGCTGAACAGGCAGAAAATTCTGCAGGCTTACAAGAAAGCAATTTATATTTCATATTTCTTATGAAAATGGCAAAGAGTCCAAATCAGCTAAACAAGTTCCCTAAAGCATTTCCTGTTATTTGTAAAAGTCCTAAGACATCAATTGCAAAATTAAGCACCTGATTTAGAAAGTTCCAGTCATAAGATTTTCTGGTCAATCTCAATACCTCTGAATTATGATTCAGTTCTGCAAGTATTTTGACCCACATCTCATTTGCAGTGCATGAAAGACTGCAAAGAAGTTCCACATTTCACTTATATGTGCATAAGAAGAGGATTTGCTTTTGCAAATTGTGTTCATCTCACACAGGTTGAATAAAAACCACGCAATGGTATCCTGCAGATGTAATGGTGTCTGACTTTGCCTGCAGTTTATTACAATGTCTCCTGCTGAAGAGAGGGTTTATTGCTCATCCCAACCAAGTAGCTGTGCTTTGTGTTGCACAGAGGAACCTTCAGCAAACATGTATTAACCACTTGCAAAAGCCTTTTGCTGAATTGGGGCCCTAGCAAATGATGCCTACAGAATCACAGGATCACAGAGTGGGTAAGGTTGGAAAGGCTCACAGGGGATCATCTGGTCCAGCCTCCCTGCTCAAGCAAGGTCATCCTAGAGCACACGGCACAGGATTGCATCCAGACAGTTTTTGAATATCTCCATTGAGGGAGAACCCACAGCCTCTCTGGGCAATCTGTTTCAATGTGTGATCACCAGCACATCAAAGAAGTTCTTCCTCATGCTCAGGTGGAGCTTTCTGTGCATGAGTTTCTGCCCGTTGCCTCATCCCATTGCTCGGCACCACCGAGCAGAGCCTGGTTCATCTTCTGACACCCTCCCTGCAGATACTGACAGACATTGATGAACTCCCCTCTCAGCTGTCTCTTTTCCAGGCTGAACAGGCTGAGGTCCCTCAGCCTGTCCTTGTAGGAGAGATGCTCCAGTCCCTTAAACATATTTGTAGTCCTCTGCTGGACCAGTTCCAGGAGGTCCATGTACTGAGGAGCCCAGAACTGGACACAGCATTCCAGACGTGCCTCACTAAGGCTGAGAAGAGAGGCAGAATCATCTCCCTTGACCTGCTGGCAGTGCTCTTCCTAATGCACCCTAGGATCCCATTTTGCCTTCTTGACCTCAACTCAGCTTGTTGTCAACCAGGACCCCCATGTTCATCTCTGCAGAGCTGCTTTCCAGCAGGTCAGGCCCTAACCTGCACTGGTGTATGGAGTTCCTCAGATGCAGGACTCTGCATTTGCCTTTGCTGAACTTCAGAAAGTTCTTCTCTGCCCATCTCATCAGCCTGTTGATGTCCTTCTGAAGGGCTGCACAGCACTCTTGGGATTGGTCTCTCCTTTGAGCTCTGTCATTGAGGAACTTGCTGAGGAGGCATCTGCCCCTTCATTCAAGTCATTGATGAATAACTTAAACAATACTGGGCCCAGTATTGAACCTTGGGGTACACCACAATATCTTTTCATTAGAAAATAACTTCCATCGATGATTTTGATTTAGAGAGGTTTCAGTTTTACATTAAATAAAAGAAATCTATAAACCTTGACTGTTCTCTCTGTACACCATTGACAATGTTCGTTTTTAATACCTTTTCACATCTCCTTTTCCACTGCATTTAAGCTGCACATTTTTAAGGCAAATACTACCATCCTAAATACTCCCTTGGTAGCTGCAGCTAGCAGCTCTCACAGAACAGAGGTACCCAACACTGTGCTTGAAAAACAAGCTTTTACTGACCTACTGATGATATGTAAAAAACAATGTGACAGGTATTGTTGAAGGCCTCAGCCTGCAAGGCAGTGGAAGCAGGTGTATGTACCAATAATCGTTTAGATATCCAATTATATTTGCTGCCAAACAGGTGAAGAGTCTCATCAGAGTGTCCTATCTGGTAGAAAACAAAATATATTACATGCCAGTATCAGCGGGTCATTGAAATGTATCATATTGTTCCACTGAAACTGTCTCTTAAAGGTGGATGATTCATCATGAATAATAATATTAAAGATTTAAGATTTAGACTTTTACTATCCTCACTAGTACTGCTTCTGATTTTGTGGAGTTTTATTAAATTCAGATGAGCAAAGTAGGGTTTTAGAAAGGAATTTTAACCTTGTGCTCACCTGCCCTAGATGCTGCAACCAGGCAGAGATGGGTTGCACCACTAATTGCAGAAGGAAGTTTTATTTTCCAGATCAGAAGTGATAGTTATGGCATTAACAACATGGTCAAGCCATAGATGAAGTTGTCTCAGTTTTTCTGGCTCTAATGGAGTCTAAAGAGCCTGGAGAAAAGTGTGAAGAGAAAAGCTCACATGTATGGTGTTTCTCCCTAATATTTTCCCAGCCTCCAGCTTTCTGAATCCTATGAGATTCATGTAAAATTTAGAAAACCCTTGATCTATGCATTTGCTCTAGCTGCCCATTGCTTCATGTAAAATTTTAGCATCCACAGCATCTGCATCCTGCAGGAAACAGACCTACGGTGTGGCAAAACACACCCATAAGTTTGCTCAAAACCTGGATTGTAGGAGGTTCATTTAATATTCTATACTTACACTGGAAGAGAAAGCAAATCCACCATATCATACCATGGTTTTGTGGACCTCTATCACATTCACTTTCAGACATCTCTTTTCCAAACTGAAGAGTCCCAGTTGACTGTCACTTGTAGATACACTGTTGGCTGCAGAAATTGGCATCCCTCACCCTTTGCAAACCCACTGAGACTTGGTTGTCCCTAGGCTGCAGAAGAAATCTCTTGCTTTGATTCACATAATACTGTATTTATCAGCTGTGTTGGTAGATCCCTGTGCCTCTCAGTTGTCTGGAGCTCCTGGATCCAGCCCCTGTGCTAGAAGCAAAGAATAAAACCATATACTTAATGTTTAAGTCACTTAAAGAGACATAAATTATTCATAGATAGAATCTATCCAGCACAGAAGATTTTAACAGAGCTCATCTCACAAAAAAAATAAATATACCAGAGGAATTTTTATTCATCTTGGGGATTGAAAAACCTGTGATTAGAGTATCTCACCTACCATCATGGTGCTTCCTTAGGAGCAAGCTGAGACAATGGATCAGACTTGGTGAACCACCAACATCCTGATGACTCCTGAGCGAGATGCTGACTGTGTTTGACTCTGCATAGTTTGTACAAGATGAAATCCTGATCTAGCATGGTGAGAGCAGATCAGTAACATTTTGCATTGGTTTACTGGCACCTCCTCGAATTTGGCATCGTGCCTGGCTTTATTGAGTCCCAGAACTTTTTGTTCTAACTGGCATGGGTGTTTTCCTTTTTAACCATTAATCTCTAAATTGTGCAAAGTGAAGAGTGGGAGACAGAGCAAAGGCAGTGTATAGCCACAGACATAATAAATAGTTTACCAAGAATATTAAATAAAGTCACATGTATAATACCCTAGTTATTTATCTTTACTACACGCCAGCTAAGAAAGGACTAAAGTACACTTGCTGACAAGATTTGTGTGCCATCAGGAAAACACTTTATAGAGCTACAACAATAGTCCAGATATTTTATTAAGAATAATAATGACAGCACTAACATAGTACCTGAAGAACTCTTTTCAGTCAGAGGATGCTTTTAGATGTGTGGATGGAAAAGATAACAAATTTGCCTCATCAGGAAAAATTTCAAAGCCAATTAAAATATTTTTCCTTTGCAAAGGCTGTGATTTGGCAGCTAATTTTATAAATGTTCTTTAACTCAAACAAAACTGTTTTCCATTAAAAATACCTTATTATTTTTCTCTTCATTGCATAAGACAAGCCTGAGACAACCATTTTATTGCTGAAGTCTGTTTAAAGTTATCTTATGACTAATTGGGCTTTTATTAAAATGCAATAAAACATTAGGTGTCCGTAGGCTGAGTCCAGTGGTTATTTTTCGTTCTTCTCAAATGACAGATTATCTTTGACTGTTATTATCTCAATGTTCTATAGTCTAATGAACTACTGGTACTGTAAGTACCTGAAACAGTACTTAAAATTTGGGGTTACTTGTAGCGTGTAGCAATTTGTGATTACTTGCAGAAGAAAACCTGCACATAATTTACCATATTGCTGTGCTATCTTTATAAAAAATTACCAGAGTTTGATTAGTTTGTAAAAACAGCAAACCTTTACTCTTGGGGTGGGAGCTGGGAACTCCATCTCTCCCAGACTGTGCAGTATATGAAATGTCTCTTGCTCTAAGCATCTGCCATAAGACCCTGTGACTAAGCCCCTAACTTCATGTTTATTGCCATTTATAGTCTGCTTGCAGTTACCGTAAGATGAAGAGTGTGTACTGTGGTTTCCTACTGTTTTCATAAGAAAAAAAGGATGTAAATGTCATCAACATACTTTGCATGTTAATACAAATAAATATTTATTTCTTCCACCCCCCCTGCTCTCACTGACATAAAACTGAAGTGCTCCTAATAGAGGAGTTGGCCTCAAGGTCAATACAGCTTTTGGGGTCATGCCTGTGCTTTATCCTATTATTTTTTTATCTTTTATTAACACTTGGGGTTATTTTTCTGACTTTCTCATGGGTCTGATGTTGTGCCAGTAGTACATGACCCTTTCAAATGTTGTTTTCCAGCTCTGCCCACTGTTGGTATCCATCTGCAGTGGGTTTTCAGATATGCAGCTGTCCTAAAAGTTCAGTCATGCAGAAAAAAAATCTCTGGCCCAAAACCTGCAACTGTGAAAGTGTGAATTTATTCCCTAACATTGGAAGGATAAATTAAAAATTTACATGCACAATATTCCTCCTTTCTCTGCCTTTTATTTTTTTACAAGAAATAAAAAAAAAAGTACAAAATACATACTGAAAAGCCTTCTACACTATGGAGCTCATACTGTGAACAACAGCACAGAAAACATGGCATGATATAGTTTCACGTCTACGTAACAGCAGCTTTTATGGCATTTTGTTGAGTTCACAAGACATATTTGTCCCTCTGCCAGCTTTGCAGGCTTCTGATCTCGAAATCCAAGCTGCATTCTCCTTGACTTCTTGTCACGATAACTTTCCACCAGCCAAACCATGTTTTGTGTTGTATTTATGTAAGCACACGTTCTTCAAATTCTGTTTCTAGTTAATCTTTTTCATTGCTTGTCTTCCAGAGGGTGTCTGGAGAGGCAACATCATGGCCTTGGTTTTGGAACATATTGACTCATGATGCAGAACAGTAAAACATACCAAAACATGATGCTGAGCAGAGTTGCACTCATTGTTCCTTAATGGATGTGGCTTTGCAGTACTCAGAAGGGGCAGAAATAAGAACAAATATCTACTTCAGGAAGAAAAAAGTGTTATGACTCTTAATATCAGCAGAATTATATTAATTTTATAGATATGCTTTCCAGAACATGAGTCCAACTCTTGTTACATGCTAGAGTTGATATCACTTGTAATTTAGAGGCTAAGGTAAGGTGGTCCATAGGATGGGTAGCATAGGACTCGAATAGGTTCAAGTTTCTCTTTTACTGTAATTTCACTTAAGCAAGTCATAGAATCATAGAATGGTTTGGGTTGGAAGGGGCCTTAAAGATCATCTCATTCCAACCCTTCTCCCATGGTCAGGGACACCTTCCACTAGACCAGGTCGCTCCAAGTCTTGCGGGCCTTGAACACTTTCAGGGTTGGGGCATCCACACCACTCTCACAATAAAGAATTTCTTCCTAATATCCAATCTAAACCTATTCTCCATCTGAAGCCATTCCCCCTTCTCCTGTACATGCACTTGTAAGTAGTTTCTCTCCATCTTTCTTCTAGGCTCTTCAGGTACTGGAAGCCTGCAATTAGGTCACCCAGGAAGCCTTATCTTCTCCAGGCTGAAGTCACTTAAATTCTTTGGGATTCACAATTCA